TTCGTCTGCGTCCGCATCCGTGTCTGCGCGGCGGCGGCGGCAGTCTGCGTAGCCCGCCGTCTGCACAGGCATCGCGTACCTAGACTGCTTCGCGTATAGGTCGGGGAAATACCCGGGATCGTCGTCGATCAAGCTCCTGGGGCTCAGCGGCTGCGGCTGCGTCTGAGCTTGAGCCTGAGCAGCCTAGGGGCGTCGGCGCCGGATCCAGAATACCCGGAATGCTGATGAAATCCACGCTCCACGCGAGGTCCTTCCCGCCCGCGGCGTAGTACTGCGCCCACGCTTGCACGTTTGGATCCACATACGGCGTATGCGGGTCGTACACGTACGGCGTGCCCGCCTGCTGAACGGATTGCTGCTGCTGCTTCGCCTGTGGCTGACGCTCAGGTTATGCGCTTGCTAAGTGGCGGGCTGCGGCTGCGGCTGTTGCTGGACAGACTGCACGGCGGGCTGGGACTGCGCCGCTGCTGGTGCATGGGGTATGGTACCGCTTGCGCCTGAGCCTGAGCGGGATACAGCGTCGACTGAGTCTGTCATTGCACCTGAGACTGCTGAGGCGGTGGCTGCCCTAGCGCAGGATACGGCGTCGGTCCCCAATACGGCCCGCACGCTGCCTGTGCCTGGTGCGGCTGCGGGTGTACATCCCGCCCGAGTGCCGCGCGAGGCTGTCCCACATCGTGCGCGCGCGGATGAAGGTCCCGTTCATCGACACGAGGTCCACTGAGCAATCAATTCGTTAGCCAACTAATCAATAGCAGGAGAAGAGAAATACGCACCCCGCTTCCGGCTGTACTTGTCAACAAGCTTGATCTTGAGCCGCAGCGCTATGCACGAGCGGTAGAGCTCCTACCAAGCGACCGACCCATCGTCAGCGAGAACAAGTATAACGAGCCCAATAAGAGCCATACCTAAATCTCCTCATCATCCGTGAGATTGTCGTCCTTGCTCGGGTCGAGCGCACGAATCGTCCCGCACCCCCACCTTCTCCCCCTCATTCTCGTGGACGACGACGGTGCAGCGTCGAACGCAGAGGAACCGGGAGCAGCGTCAAAAACACCCCTTCCGCCTCCCCCGCCGCCGAAACGCCCCCGTGGAAAACGACGGCGCAGCGTCGAACGCAGACGAAGAACCGGGAGCAGCGTCGAAAGCGCCCGTACTCGCACCCCCTCCCCCACCCCCGCCCCCGCCCCAGCCGCCACCGCCACCGCTGCTGTCCAGCCCCCTCGTGGAGGACGAAGGCGAAGCGTCGAACGCAGAGGAAAAACCGGGAGTAGCCTCAGACGCGGCAGCGCCCGCGCCGCACCCGCTGCACTCGACCCTCCCACACCTCCTCCTCCTCCTCCCCCTCCCCGCCGCCAAGCGCGCCGGAGGTCGAAGGCGCAGCGGGAGTGCACGCCCCAAGCGCGCGCTCATCTGCGGCGGATGGCGGAAGCAGGTGAGGAAAGGTGTCGTCCTCCGCGGGAGGGGGCGGGGTGTCGCGGTGGGTGTATTTGTATTCGTAGACTGCTCACGATCATCTCGAGCACGCCTCCTCGCGCCGACAGAGGGTGGACGGCGGAAGCGGATGGCGGATGGTGGATGGCGTCCTCCCCGGGCGGGGCGGGGACGCGGCGGGGTGTGGGCCTCGGGTGGGTGGATTGTGCTTCCAGTCTGCTCACGGGGGCACGATCGCGCACGCCTGCTCGCGCCGACGGATAGCAGACGGCGGAAATGGATGGCGGATGGCGTCGACCTCCGCGGGCGGGGCGGGGTATCGAGGTGTCGGGGTGTCGAGCCCGGTGCATTTGTAGTCTGCTCATGGGGCCGCGGTCGCGCACGGTCAGCCTCCTCGCGCCGGCGGATGGCAGACGGCGGGAGCAGATGCTGTCGTCCCCCGCGGGCGGGGCGGGGTGTCGGGGCGGGGTATGATTGTAGTCTGTGAAAGAAGGGGCTGGCGTGAGTTAACGGTACGAGAGGGGGTGAAGATAGAAAGACGGATGAAGAGGCGGCGTATCAATAGGAAGCAAGAGAACAAAGAGAATGTGAAGAGGCAGGGTGGAGAGAGAAGCACGAAAAAAGATTCCCGAAAGATGAAAGAGAGGCGCGTGAAAGAAGTGAGGGAGCCCGATACGCAGGGATGGCGAGGATGGCGACCAAGGGAGGGCATGCGCATTAGCATTCGTCGCCTTGGCGCTCTGCGCCTCTCGCCGCCGCCGCATTCGCGTGAGGCGCCCTTCGAGCGGCCAGTCCAGCGCCTCGCTCCGTCCCCAGCGCAGCCCCGCAGCACATTCGCCTCGCTCCGCACGCAGCCGCACCCGCAGCCGCACCCGCACCCGCACCCGCACCCGCACCCGCACCTGCACCTGCACCCCCTCCGCCCTCCCGCCCCCCTCAGCAAAAGACAAAAGGCACAAGAAAAGGGGGATAGGTGTGCGCGCACGCAGATGAAGAAATATCGAAGAAAGGAATAGAAAAAGACGAAGAAGGAAAATGAGGAAGGAGACCGAAGACGTGCGCCAAGAACGAGGTGCGCCAGGGTGCGGTGGAGTACCAGCGAATTAGGCTTGGCCTGGGGGGGTGGTACCTGAAAAGGATTCCCCGAACGGCGCTGCGCGCGCCCCGAACCGAAATCCCGCCGCGCCGAAAAAACAATGCGTGGCACACGTGTCGCATGTACGCGGAATGGGGCAGTCAAACGCGAGCCCCCGCCCTTCCCCCCGCGAAAAAATGAGGCCGAAAAAGCATGGGCAAGGAAAAAGATAAAAAAGATGAGCAAGAGAGAGTAGGGCGAGCGCTCTGAGCTCGTCCACACGGGCAAGAAGAAAAAAGAAGCCCGACTCAAAAAATGACCAACAACAAGTGTGTCGCGGGCTGCACGTACGCACACCCCTCTCCTCCCCCGCCAGAAAGACGCCAAAAAAGAATTGTGCTGAGCCCTATCCCTTCACCAACGCAAACGCAAAGGCCAAACGGCAAAAACAGAAAAAAAAAGCCCAGATGGATGTAGGAGGAAGAAACGACGCACTATGTGTCTTCGCCTTCATGGCACTCGCTCATGATCCCCAGCGCGCTGTCGTCCGCAAAGTCGGTGGCGGTAATAGTTCAGAGCGGGAGGGCGCGGCCTTTGTAGTGCGTGTTCTGGAGGCGAGGGTTAGCGAGCGGTTGCGGAGATATGGAGTAAATGGTGGAGATGTGAGGATAAGCAAATTGCAAATGCAGGCGAAAGGCGGACTCGAAGAGAATGGAGAGCACGACAATGCGACGAATGCAAGAAAACGTCACTAGTGGACTCCGTATGAATCAGAACGGGGAGCGCGACGCTGTCGACGCGATAGATGCCGACGCAGGCAAATGACACGCAAACCAATCGCCAGCCGCCAGCGCGCCGGATGCCCAAGACCGCAGTTTTGACGGCAGCAGAATGCCATGCGTCAAGCCAGTGGAGGATTGTCGCAATTCCGAGTGTGGCACCACGCGAAACGAGGCTACTGGCAGTGGCAGAGTCGGAGTTGGTGGTATGTACCCGTGTGCGCGCAAGCCCAAAAAAAAAAACTGACTGACGCAGAAAACCGCACTCACCCGATCCGTAACAACCCTCTCATCTCCAACCCTCTGTCCACGCCCTACTCGGTGTAGCTGGCATAGTTCTTCCCCAGCGCCTCGCATACGACATCTGACGTTCGGATTTCTTGCAAAGGAGGAGTTGCGAGTGATTCCCAGTGCTCCGAGGTGAGGCTTCGTCGGTTGTTTTGACTGGAATGGGAGAGGGATGTTGAATACGCCGCCGAACATGCTCGGCCGACTGTGTTGTTACAGGACAAGACGGAAGTTTAAGTTGCTCAGCGCTGTGGTGGTAGCGCGTCACGCATTGTGACTCGCGTGACATTCAATCCTCTCCTCCTACCACCAGTGCGTCCAAAATGCTATGAGGCAACCCCTGCTTGCTTGAAAAACTAGAAAACGGGACGGCTTGTGCTCTACGACTCGGACGATATCATGGACCACGATGAGCATTGAGCCATTGAATTACCCGGGGCATGGGTGTCTCCCTTCTTTTCTCTCTCCCCCTTGCTCGGTGGATAGCAGCGTCCGTTATGGCTTATCAATTTGCCGAAAACCGCATCTCCTCGCTCAAAACCTCCCTGCTTTCCTTCCTTCTCGCCTCAATCTCGGCACTTGATCGTTTTCACATCGACGTTCCTCGGGCTCCCGTCGATATCTCCCCTTCCGCGCCCGGCTGTCTTAGCTTTCCCTTTCACCCCATATCATCTGCTCGTCGCCTTCGTTAACTCACGACGTTCACCAGCTCCTCCCTCTTGAGTCTATCTCCATTTTTGTTTGACTTTGTTTTCTTGCTCCCCTTGAACTTCTCGCCCCTTCCCTCTACGCGGGCAACGCACACACCGAGAAATGGCCGCCCCACGAAAAGCAAGCCCACGAAGCGCAAGCTGCCTCAGCCGCCCGGGGGCCTCCATCTGTACTGTTCACGCGCGCCATCCTTCTCGACTCTCGAGCCAGTGGATCGTTCTTCTTTGCTGTTCAATCGATCAATCAACTCGGGGACGAGAGTGGCAGACCCAGAACTTCAATAACCACTGTTGCATAGATTGCACATTGCAAGACTCGGATTCAATCCATCGCATCGAAGCCTCAAGCACCTCAAAATCAATAAGACACAGAAGAATTCGAAAGAATTCGAAAGGGTGAAGGACAAAGAAGAAAAAATGAGACTGAGTATCGGACTGGGACAATCAATAACCGAATAACAAAGAACGACGCGGCGAAAAAGAGGCACTGGAGCACTACGCCCTCGGCGGGAGTCGAACCCACGTCGTCCACCTAATCTCTCTTCAAGTGGCTGATGAAGAGTGGAAGATCTACCGAATGATGGACGAGGGCAGACTACTGGCAACAGAATACCTACATGTTAGGATCTCAAATCGAGTGCAACGGAACTTGGATACTTGAGATGCAAACCAAGTCCAAGTGGCGAGTTGAGAAAAAGCGACTCGCCGGCTACACGCCCGCGGTGGGAGTCGAACCCACGGCGCTCCCTGAAATTCTACGATTCGAAAACCATGATAAGGGAGGGATCTACCAACTGATCTACGAGGGCATTAGTATATTGACCCGTCAATACAGCAAGGAGTCGAGGATTAGGTCACGGAGAAGGTAAGATGTTGTACCCTCGGGCGGTTGAACTGATGAAATGCGACGGCAGAACGAAGACTGAATGCACTTACGCAGAAAAAAAAAAACAGAGCTCGACCAGTCGGACCACGAAAAAACTGTGTGGTCGACGCGCAGGCGGGAGTCGAACCCACTTGATTCTCGACTCAAGGGACGTGTGGAATGAAAGGGGTCGGGAACCATCTACGAGGGCATGCCTAAACTACCTTGTGTTTGAACTGTTGAACTGTGTTCCTTTCGCAACTTAGATACCGGTACAACACAATCAGACTTAGAACGAAATGAATTGACTGAGTGCACGAAAAAAGGGCGGACATGATAAGACGGAACTTTGATGGGGCAAGAAAAGAGAGGAAGAGCAAGGATCATGACGGAAACAAAGATAGAAATAGAAAAAACGTTAACCTACAAATGCCATGCCCTCGGTGGGAATCGAACCCACATCGCCCACTGAGCTCGTTTCATTCGAAAACATGATGAGTGAGGGATCTACCGACTGAACTACGAGGGCGTCGTTTAGGAATAGAAAGCGTCGTGGAATGATACAAATCCACAAACTGTCTCTCTGTTCAACTTCCGCAAGGATTTTGCGAGATTAAATTTATCGAGTGCCATTCAAGTCGGAAGGTGAGGGCTGTCTCTCTGTCCAATTTCCGTAGCTCGGCTCGGGACTTTTCAACTGGACAGAAAAATCGTTCTGAGTGTAATTAAGTATATAGCGAGTTGTCTGGTTTTGCATAGTCCCTTCACTATAGGCTCAGCGAACGTTTATCCTGGCCAGGGCACGGGCACTGTGAACCGACTGAGATAAAATTCGCGCCTGCCGCAAGTTCAAAATCGTATATCGCAAAAAAGGGATTAAATTTGGGCCATAATCAACTAATTACTTACAACATGCGAGGTACGAGCACAGTTTGTTATAGCGTCTGTTTAGAAGAGACTACTAATTACTTGGCCAGAGAATAATTCAACTTCTCAGGCGTCTGAAAACTGCTCAACGAAGCCAACAAAAGTACCGAACGGTCCATCCGCCATAAAGTCCAGGTTCAAATCATGCCCGCTCCCCGGCGCGACCACAACATCGAAACTCTTCGCCGCAGGCCACACAGCCCGTTCCGCCGCCGTCAACGCCGCAACGTCCCCACATCGCCCCGTCCCCGCGCAAAACAGCTGGTCCTCGGAGCCCACGACCTTCGCCACAGGCCCAGCGAACTGCGCAGGCAAGGACGACGTCGCTCCCTGCAAAAGCGTGGCCATCGGCCCCACGTCCTTCGTGAAATTGTCGAACACCCTCATGCGCGGGGAAAAGGAGTTGGGATCGGCGGGATAGAAGAGGGAGCGGTTGCTCGTGGTGACGTACGCGGGGTCGAGCGCGCTCCAGCGGAGCGGGGTGTCGTCGCGCGCGGGGGTGAGGGGAAGAGCCGGGGGCGAGCCGGGCTCGTTGATGAGCAGGCCTGTGAGTACGAGGCCGTCGAAGGGCGACTGCGCACCTTCGACGATGGCGCCGAAGGTCAACATAGCTGAGCCGGCGCTGTGCCCTATGCCAATAACTTTTTTGAAAGGCTGGAGTCCAGGGACGATGGACGCGTTCTTGAGGTGACGGGCGACCTCGGAGAGCGCACCCGAGCTCGTGGGGTACTGTACGTCCGACGCATTAACAGGCCGCGAACTCAGTCCGACACCGAGACAATCCACGGCAAGGGAGGATAACCCCCGCTCGCACGAGAACGCGGCGTATGAATAGTTGCGGAACTCCTCCACCGGCGGCGACCAATATTGGCCGTCATATGTGAATCCGTGCACGAGAAGCTGAATGACATCTAAACATATTCATTCGAAGCCTGAGGTCGGCGAACGGGATGCTGACTGACCGGAATTATTGGAATTTGACACAGTGTTTGGCTGGCAGAAAGTCCCAGAGATGTTGAACGTGTCGTCTACCCGGCGCAGACTGCTTGCGTTACTTTTGAGACCAGCAAATGGATCCGTGGGATCCTGCGGAACGAGGACGTCGACGTGAACCGGAATAACGACAGATGAACAGTCGCAGGACGCCCCGGACGCGACGAAAATACGGGAGAGGTGAAATAGTAGCGAGAGCGTGAATAGCAACATGCTCGAAAGGGCACCCATCCGTGAATGTAGGCTGCGTCTTTATACCACTGACCATGAGAAACCGCCGCTTGATTAGTTCTGGACGAGGCCGTAAAGCGATGATTCATCGTGCTTCGCATTGGCCCCAACAGAAAAAGTGCCGCAGCGTGCCGGTCAAATGCCACTCCCACAGAACTGTCTGAACGATGTCATTGCATGGTCAGAGGGTGAGAAACGACGAACACTTGATGGGTAAAGCACCCCAATGGACATTGCGTCGTACGAGAAAAACTCTGCCCCAAAGGTTCGATTGGCTGAGACGCCATCAGAAGAAGTACCGGAGGCTTACAATGATTTTTTTAAAAGCGTGGGGGATGGCACCATACTCCCCAACGTTTCCCAGTTTTTCGCTGGGGAGAGATCAGCCCGGAAGGAATATTGTGTCATCACATACCGTACCGTCGTACACGTTGAACAGCGGAGAACCGATTCAGAACAGAAGAGTAAGCGGGGATTCCATTCAGATAATAAAAATTTAGTGCGTTTCTAGTCTTACAAGCTCACGGCCCCGCGCATGCCACTAAGCCCGTGAAACGAGCGTCGCGGCAAACCCTATGCGCGGGAAATGGCAACGCATACCCCTCGAGTTCTCGATGACAAACTCCTCCTTATTCAATGCGACGAGCGTCCCCGCGGTTGCGAATTCCAGTCCTGCGTTACACGTCCATTATTTCCAAATCACCAAATAAGCATCATTAAGCAGAGAGCGACGAACCAGAATCATCTCGGCCAACAGCGACCCGATCACCAGATGTCAACCCGAGGCGGTCGCCTTCGCGCGGATCGAAACCAACGACGCTATACGGCTCGAAGGGCGCACCAGCGATGCGCGCAGCGGCGGCTTCGGCGGTGAGGTCGGCCCCGGCGCCGGTTTGAGTCTCTTTGAGCTTATCCAGATGGGCGGTTATACGCGCGAGCCACTAAGCTACGAGTCAGAATAAGACCAGACACATATGAGTGGGCGGCATACCTCCAACAACTTGGGAACCGTGCCCGCCTCGAAGAGCGGCTCCGCGGCTGGTATGCGTTTGATCCACACCAGTACGAAGTGCACGGAGATGTCTGCGAGGGAGGGCAGCTCCGTGTCAAACAGCCATTCCCGGCCGTCGGACAACTGGACAAAAAAGAGATCAGGATTTGGAGCGTAGGGTAAAAGACAGGACGATCTACTTGGTCCTCTACCAGAGCCTGTTTCGAGGGGTTAATAATTACACAGCGGGGCTTTGATGGAAGAAGGGCTTACGAAGTGGGTCGACAACGCGCTGAGACTTTTCGGACGGCCTGCTGCCATCGCCTCAAAATTAATCGGCCCACCTAAAAGCTGTTCTTCTTGTTAGATAACCAAAAGACACGGTAGCCGCGGGAACGAACCGTCTCCCGATCCTTGACAAATTCCGGCGGAAAACTCGCAAAGTCGAGCACCCGCACGCCTAAAAAGAAGACCACCGTCTCGGCCCAATGCTTCGTAAACATCTGTATTAAACCAGCATCTGCACGCCCTCCCCCTTTGCGTTTAGGGAAAAGCGTCCCGTAGCCAGCTGACGCGGGGAAGCGTCTCTCGACGGCCGAAGCGATGAGACTGCAGAGCATTAGTCGACATTTTCGTGGTTGACTAATGGGCTACGCAGTGCGCACCTCGTATCACAGTATATATCATTGCCGATGGCTAGGACTGGGATCCGGCGGTACTTAACATCAAGCATATCTGTAATTTCTGGCCGGGGGAGGATCCTCCCAACCTACAAGGGTCAAGATCGTTACAACTTAATAATAATACAAGGCATTTGTGTTTCACTCACGTTGACTTTCTCGTGCGGGATGTTTTTAAGGAGCAGAACATGGTCGATCTACAATCGCAGCTGGTGAAGGGCGCAATAGTGAACACGGACGGAGAAGATACCTTGTGGCTGAAGGGCGACACATCGTAGCTAGGGCATTCCTAGTCAGTGCCGTGGACGGTAAAAAGTCAAGGGAATATGCGCGCTCACCGGTAGAGGATCACGGACATGTTTGTGGTGGTGGAAGAGAACGTTCGGTGGTGACATTCTTAAGGAAGGCGTCGCCGGGAGTCGCGTCAGCACATTGCCGGGTTTCTGACTCGGAGCGGCTATTTGCGGGCAGATCATGATCTCGGAGGTCCGGTTACGCCCGCGGTTGGATGTAGCGGTGTTGGATTTATTCTCCTCCAATTCTCAGGTTAATTCAGGTTAACCGAGTGGCTTGACACTCCTGGAATAAAAGGGTGCTTCTGCGGTGGTTTTTTCAGGGTCTGCCAAAATTCACCTTGATTGAGAATTGAGGGATGTTCTGGCCGTGCAATCAATCAAGTTGAACCACGTCGTAGTCGTGGTGGGCTGAAGGAAATCCAGTCCATTACCTAGGCAAATGAGTCCTGTCTTGCATCTTCAATTTAGGACAGGCGCAACGTCTGTTTGCCGATTCAAAAAGCACACTCTATCTCGAGTACATATCTGCTCAGCGTCTCGTTGATGGGGCGGTGGCAGACTAGATACTGGATACCATATTCTAGATAATTCTATTTAGCAGCCCACCTACGCAGTATATACGGGCACTTTCAACTACAAACTTTGCCGATATGCCGTCACGACAGTGTTGCCGAAGTCCGTTTCTTGGCCTCTTCCTGTTATTTACCACCATCTCCTCCTGAGTCCTGGTCTGGTTGCTCAGGAAACACACGCATGGTGGACCATACTTACCGTAGATTGCAGCGGTTAGTCAACTAGTCGAAGTGACAGAGGTCAAGGTGGTTGCAATCCTAGGCGCTTAGACTCGTAACCAGTCTGCATTCTACTGCAAATCTTCAGTGCAAGCACTGTGCCGCAGACTGGTGCAACTCGGGCTTGGCGAAAGGGCTGAGCCCGGAGTTTGAATTATTTCTTCTTGCCTACATTCAACCAATTTAAGTTGGATTCACAAGGGCCAAAGAGAGGGTCGTATTGGAGGCCCCCAATACTTCATTTGGCTGGTTCAGAATCTCACCGGATGCCATGGGTGTTGAGTACCGCACACCCGATTTACAAGGGAAATGATGGCGGGTATCGGTTAGCGGGCAATGACGGGTCGGGAAACTGACCTTGAGTCGGCAAGCTGGAGTCCTACACAGGCATCCTACAAGTGACGGGATGTATCGTGCGTAATGCATTTCCTCGGGTGGGCTGTCGGGCGAGGTTGTCAACGTGGTCCTCGCCACCTTAACAATTGTGTGGTAAATTAGGGACGATTTGATCGTGTTTCCGAATGATCTGACCTTCAGTGACGGAAAGGTACTTAGCCGTATTACCCTAATGCCATCTTGTTCCACGAAAAAAAAAAAAAAAAAAGGGAAATGATGGCTTT